TCCCCCCTGGGCACACAGAGGACTGGGCGACTTGGAAGGCGCTGAATAGACTGCGCTCTGGCACCACAAGATACAGAGCCAACCTTCAGAAATGGGGCCACAAAGTGGAATCCTCGAGATGCGAGTGTGGAGAAGAGCAAACCACTGACCACCTGCTGCAATGCACCCTGAGCCCTGCCACATGCACCATGGAGGACCTTCTTGCAGCAACACCAGAAGCACTCCAAGTGGCCAGATACTGGTCAAAGGACATTTAATCAACTACCAAACTCACAAATTTTGTATTTTGTCTGTTTGTTTGCTTTGTTCTGTTAGAAATGTAATATAATTGGTGGTTGCCCTGACACGACAAATAAATAGAAATCACTGTGATCCTTCATCTTGTTGACGGGACGCTTCCCACCGGAGTGGAAATCATCTATCGGAAAAATGGCAAGCTATGTAAGCAGATTGAAATCCAAAACCAAGGTTACAACATCTGTTATAGAACTCCAATATGCTGATGACAACGTCGTCTGTGCACATTCAGAAGAAAACCTACAAACACCTCCTTCAAAAAAAGAGGAAAGAACAGACTGTGGAAACTATCGAGGTATCTCCCTTCTAACCTCTGCTGGGAAAATCCTCGCAAGAATCCTTGCAAACTGCCTTCTGCCCCTCTCAGAAGACACCCTTCCAGAATCCCAGAACGGCTTCCGCCCCTCCAGAGGAACCGTGGACATGGTCTTCACTGCACGACAGCTTCAAGAAAAATGCAGAGAACAAAATCAATCTCTGTACATGGCATTCACTGACCTTGCAAAAGCATTCGACACAGTGAACCGCAGCGCTCTCTGGACCATCCTCCAAAAAATTGGGTGCTTTGGTAAACAACGAGCTAGGCTGATGGTTGGCAGCTCACGCCAACTTGGGGCTTCGAACTTGCAACCTTTTGGTTGATAGATGTGCTAAACCTCTGGCTCTATATATTATAAAACTGCATTATATGGTAGTGTAGATGAGGCCTGTGACTGTCTAGACCAGAGTTTGAATCCTCGCTTGGCCATGGAAAGTCACTGGATGATCTTGAGCAAGACACACACTCTCAGCCTCAGAGGAAAGCAAAGGCAAATCCCCTCTGAACAAACTCTGCTAAGAAAACCCCATGGTAAGTTCACCTTAGGGTCACCACAGCTCAGAAAGACTTGATCACCAAAATGGGAAGCATATGGACTCAACCTTTGCAAGCCTTATTAAACTTACCCAAGTTAATTAATGAAAAACCCCTAGATTTTTCTCTTTTGGCCTCAGGGACCTGAATCTCTTGCTTTGGCTCTCTCTGCCTCTTGCCTTCAATTTGCATAATGATGCCGGCTGAGTCAAAAATACATGATATACTGTGCTGTCTTTCTGTTCTTATCATGACAACAATGTTGACGAAGAGGAATAGCCAAACCTGACGAAAATTCCCTAATTTGCCTGCAGAAAATGTCATCACCAAAAAAGAGTTGACATATAGAGCTCATCCATAAACATGTATTTTGCAAACTAAGGTCTGTTTGTCGGCTTGCCCTGAAACTTTGCAGTCGTAAGCCACGGATGGACTGCCTTAGTTTTACATAATAACTCCGGCTGTGCAACATAGGGTGACTCCCGATGGCAAGGTTGCTAGTATTTCAAGCTGATTTTCAACGTTTTTTTCCACCAAGCTAGTATAAAATGGAATTGATTTGAACCAGAACTGCAGCCATTGGTCATTAAAATGAGAAGGAAGAGCAGAATATAAAAGTGTTACTTTTTTTTTTACTATGTCCCCTTCCACACAGCAATATAAGCCAGAATATCAAGGCAGATAATGCACAATATCTGCTTTGAACTGGATTATCTGAGTCCACACTGCCATATAATCTAGTTCAATGTGTATTTTATACAGCTGTGTGGAAGTTAATATGTGTGTGTCAACTGCAAAATAAGATGCATGAAGCTGATTGGTCGGGCAATACCCAGGGTGATGGCCGAGTCTGGGACTTTAGAATACTCAGCCTGTGTTTCACCCTGAATCTATGATATTGTTTCCCCCTTCTAATGTTCCTGAGCTGTCTTGGATGTCAATGAGGATGAGGTGCAAAATGGAGACACTTTGGACAATAAGGTCACTACAGACTCTGATAGAGAAGGGTCTGGAGAAAGGCTAAGTTCTCATAGAAAATTCCAGGCTTGAGTCTCCAGGCTCAAGTTTGCAAGATGGTTTCACACCTGATGTTAATGAAGAGATAGATAAGACCACTCGCCGGCTGGAAATTAGCCAGAACCATAGAGAGGCCAAATATTTACGGAGGTCAGAAAGAATTCGGCAATTAAGGTCAAAGACTGGGGGGAGTAGAAATCAGTTTCTGGGACTTAAATTGAGCTCTTAGGGAATTTCCTTCAGACCAGGCATCGTTTGGTTTCAATATTCAATATTCCTATAGCCTCGTCTCCAATACTTCCTGGCTTTTCCTGGGTTAGAAGTGGCCATATTCGTGGTTTTTATTAAAGGCATTTGATATTTCATTGCATCTGGATTATTACAGCAAGCTTTTGATGATGAAGAAACACAACATACAAACTATCTACAGACTCACCAAGAAAATCCAACAAATGCTACGTTCAGCAAAGGACAAGAGGGATCCTCTCACTTCTGCAGGAGTCTACTGTGTACCATGCAGCCATGGACAAGTCTACATAGGGACACCAAAAGCAGCAATGCCCAAACATGAATCAAGGAACATGAAAGGCACTGCAGACTACTTCAACCAGAGAAGTCAGCCATAGCAGAGCACCTGATGAACAAACCTGGACAAAGCATTTTATTTGAGAACACAGAAATGCTGGACCACTCTCACAACCACCATCTCAGACTACACAGAGAAGCCATTGAAATACACAAGCATGTGGACAATTTCAACAGAAAGGAGAAAACCATGAACAAAAGAATTACCATCAACAAAACGTAATATTTGGAGGAGATTGTAATTGCTGTATGGATTTAAAGAAGGATAAAA